ATCTTCATCAATATTTATTTTATCTCTTCAAATACCATTGAAGCGTACACAATTCCAGTTCTTCCATCATAAAACATTTTTTATAGGCGCTTTCCGGTATGGCTTTGAGTTCCCTCTGCGAATTCTGTTTTACGTCTTCTATGGATTCAAAACGCGTTCCTCTGAGTGGTAATTTGAGGTTGGGAAACAGGAAAAAGTCACACGGTGCAAGATCAGGTGAATACGGTGGCTGTTCGATGGTATTTATTGAATGTTTGGCCTTAAAATCGTTGATAATGTTGAACAAATTGAGGTGAATCGGAACAAGCCGGGCGTTGACACGTCGCATACACAAATTGTCCACCAAAATCAAACGAGCCATCTCACGACCGATGCCTAGCTCTCGTGCTATCTCTCTAACACTCACATGAGGATTTTTGAACACGATTTCCTTTGCCTTTTCAATGTTTTCGTCGGTGGTAGAGGTCGAAGGTCGTCCAGAACGCGGCATGTCTTCGACGGTCGTACGACAGTCCTGAAAGGCTTTGTACCACTCATAAACTTGAGTTTTCGATAAAACTGATTCCCCATAAGCCTTTTGTAGCATTCGCAACGATTCTGCACACGAAATTTCGTTCGAAAAACAAAATTTGATGCAAACTCTTTGTTCAATATTTTTTTCCATTGTTTTTTTCGCAACGCACTACTGAGGTGAACTGGTTTCAACAGCTGCCGTAAACGAACTGTCCGACGATCGCGTCATTTTTGGCATGTAATTAAGACAGTGCGCCAACTACATAAGCTTAAATATCGAAAATATACAGCGCGCGAATTTTAAATGAGAATTTCCGAAAGCTTTTCGGTCACAATGTACATACTGATGGAAATACCACACCAAGGCTTTTAGATGTCGACTCTGATTCTGATAACCAAGAGCCGGAAATTGCTGCAGCAGAGAACAATGAGATTCCTCTAGATATATTGAGATTCCTGTAGATATACTTGCTGATCCTGATGGGCATATTAACATCAATTTATCAACAGATGAATTATATGAAGCTTTGATGGATTCGCATACGTATAGATGTATTCGGTGGACTCGAGTAATGACATATCATATGCGTAACTTAAATATAACAAATTCGGATATTATGCATCGATTTGCTGAGAATTTAGTTACAAACCCCAACGAGCCTGTAGCTGCTTTTGAACCCGTATTTAATATAAATCCTTTGACCGATGAGGTGAAACAAGATTTTTCAGAGCCTGGGGATTTCAACTATCCAGAAGACTAAGCGTAGAAACAGAAGATTCAATTTTATCGTTGGAGTGTATAAATTTACAGAGTGGCTGTATAGTGGATAGTAGAATTTATTTTAAATTTAATTTTTAATGTCAATTATAACGGAAGTATGTACTTTATAAAAACTTTTGGTTTTTGTGAAGGGGTTTTTCGAATAGTAATTGCAACAACAAAAATTTTATAATTTTTATTTAAAAATCCAATTTATTGAAAATAATAAAATTTTATTGTTGCAATCCACTACTGTTCGAAAAACTCTAGAATATATTTTGTTATCGCACCATAAATTAAAATAGATCTTATCAGTAGTTCGTATATGTGAGTTGTATTCTTCATACTTGAGTACTTGTTTTGTTTGTATATTACACAAAAGATATTCCATCTCTTTATGTCATCTTTTATAATCATACTCCGATCAATAAAAATATTAACTCACGACAGATTACGTGTATGTGTTGCTATTCTATCCATCCTAGATGGAGCATAAGAACACAGCATAGAAATAGACTATGTTAGCATATCATTGTTTTCCTCCAAGACTTGACTGGCTCATTGGAACATTTAGTATCTTGCGAGTTCCACTTCAAAGGCTGCTAAGCAGCAATTATACTTTGTGGTCTTTTGAGAGTGTGCCATATCCAACCTATTTTACTCGTTTTAATGATAAGCACTTACATTGATGTCTATTATATTGATAATATGCTTTAGATATAATAAATTTGATTTGAAGCCATAAAATATCCAAACTTCCTTTATTGAATTTAATATGAACACAAATATTTCTCACTCGAAAGCATTATTAATCAAAAACTAATATGTATTTGCTGAGCAATATGCAAATATGTATTTGCTGAGCAATTATATGTCTACCAACTTAATTTTGTTTGAAAAAGTTCAACAACAATTAATAAAGTTTTGTGTTCCTTTAAAATGCGCAGCAGTTAGCAGTTAAAGTTTAACATTTTTATTAAGAAAATATCACTAAGCCTTTAGTACCCTTAGACAATGGCTTTGAACAAATCCGAGAAACCATTAAGACAACCAAAAATTATGCTCATACGCCAGTCTCGGCGTACTCACATTCCATCGACTAACCTGATTATGACTTGTCCTTGAACACACTCCAGCAGATATATCTTTATCCGCTTCCACACACATAACATAATAACAATTTATTTTAATGGCTCAGATATGTACTGCGTATAAGTACATTAAACTAAGCTCTACATAAGCTGCAATAAAACTCAAATAATATCATTATTCTCCGTCTACGTCTCCATCTCTGTCTCCGTCTCTGTCTCCGTCTCTGTCTCTCTCTCTATGCAACCACAAATGTCCTTATATACGTCAATGGTTCGCAGTTCAAACAAATGATGTTGTGTGTTGAAGAAAGTGATTTAAAGTAATTTGTCAAAATTAATGCCTTCGAATGCTGGTGTGTGGATATTGGTTGGTATTGTGTATTGATTTCGCTTTTCAAGTCGAATGAATAAACAGAAAAACAGAAGAAAAAAAGCTGCCGAAATAATAAGTCGCCACGAAAATCGCCATGAGATCGTATCCTGTAGCTGTTTTCCCAGCAATTTACTTCAAAAAGTTTTCCTAATTTTCAATTTCTTAAAATATATTAAATTTTTTTTTTTTATTTGCGTTTTCTTCAGTTTTCGCTGCTTTAAGTTGAATTTTATTTTTGCTTTTAACTTCCGCATTTTTGCACCTGAAAACTTTTAAACTAAGTTTGATTACTTATTGCATTTTTTTTTATTTTTTTTCTTTTTTTGTCGTTCCGTACTCTATTTATTTGCTCCTGCGAAATTTTTACTTTTTTCAATTTAAGTTTATAGCTTCCTTCGTGCTCCTTCCGTTCCGTTTGCTGACTAACAAACTCATCAAATTGCTTTGTCGTTACTCGCTTCAGCTCACTTCGATTGACGTTCACTTAATTTTCACTTCATAAAATTAAGCCAAAAATGTTCAAGTGCTCATTATATTCAAAATTTTCGCAATATAAAACTAAAAACTATTTAATGTAATTTACACCGAGCACGAGAACCCAATCAACGCACCACCCAAATGCACCACTCCTTCCTCTCGCTTCGTATACCGTAAGATTCATTAAGTTTTGTTTTTGCATTGATAAATTTAAAAGTATTTACTCATGGGAAAATATAAAAATAACTCATGATAATTAGTGCATATAAAATATTTACAGGATGTGATGTGAAACTCACTAAAACGTAAAAACTAAAAATAGCAAAACAGCAAAATAGGTTTAAAAATATAACCTCAAAATACTCATAAAAAATGAATTGAATTGCGGATGATGCGGATGCGTACCTCCAAAGTGCCAATCATTTTTCATAATTAAATTCACTCCTAATCAGGTCAGCAAGTAGTGATTCATCTATTGCATCAAAGCCACGCTTTCATAGCCTCGGCGCAGCCAATATCCTCGCAACTCCTGGCGGCAGTTAGTATTCAGACTTCATCATCATGTTATCTATCTGCTGACTGTGGCTCCGACAGTGACTGTGACTGTGACTGTGACTGCGGCTATGACTGCGATGTTCGGTGTGTACATCGTAATTTGTGTCCGTTTTATATGCCTTAATTCAAGCGCCATTTCACATCCGATGCGCTTCATCATTTACAATTCGCCATTGGAAGCGTTTTCGGTGAAAATTATGTTGATTAATGAGTGTATGGTAATGCATTTAAAGTTTAGTCACGCACATTCAACCAAAATTCCTCTTCACAACTCTCCAACTAACTTGTAACAGGACTAATATTAAACTTCTGTTTTACACTTGTTTTGAGTGCAAAAGTTTTTCAAGTCCCCACCAACCAACACTAAAACACTCCCACCGCCTCTAGTTAGTAGACACAGGAATAGAGTGACTGATGTTGGTAATAATTTGCTGTTACTTCCACTGTTGAGGCGGCGGCTTTGAATTATGTCCTTAAGTAGCATCATGTATTGTGCTCGTGTTGCGAATTATTAACACAATATTGTCTGTAAAGTTCAGGCCAAATAAATCTCTAAGTCGAGCATAATTTGAGGTATTTTGTTAAATTTTACTTGTACACTGCATACTCGTACTGCAGTGTAAATGGATAGGAAAAACAATACTTATTTGAGCTTGAGATACTATTGAGAATCAGTACATTGAGTTATAAAAATAACTACGAATATTTTTTTATATATTTATACACTTCATATATTATATTCATTAAAAATTTTAATCAGTTATCGAATACTGTTCATTAGTTTGAATGCTATATTGAATCTGCAAATTATAATATTGACAGTCGATACTATAAACTGATACTTGTAGAAGTTGAAAGAAAAGAGAGCAGAAAAGAGATACAAGAGAAGATGAAAAAAAGAGAAGAAAATATAAGAAACAAGAAGAAAAAAAACAAGAAAGCGAAAGACTGAAGAAAAAAGAAGAAAGAAGGAAGAAAAGGAAAGAAAGAAGGAAGAAAAGGAAAGAAAGAAGGAAGAAAAGGAAAGAAAGAAGGAAGAAAAGGAAAGAAAGAAGGAAAAGAAGGAAGATAGATATAAAAAACTATTCCAGAGAAAGGTTTTTAGCAACCGAGAAGAGATAATCAAAATACCGAGAATCGATTTTTAAAAACTATCTTCAACGATTAAATATTTCGAGATTTGAATCACACGATGGCATGAGTGCTATTCAATCAATGCAGTTTACTTAAAATGACACAATGGCGAATATCAAGTATAATCTTATATTTTCAATTTTCTGTATATTTCCTAAAACGTTATGATTAAGCTGAGTAATATAGAAGGATATAGAATATAGAAGGATTACGACTAATATTCAATTACAGATTTACGGATCATAAATAACATAGAAAACCGACCATTCACGAGACCAAAAATAATGAGATATAATAATTTATGTCGGAGTAGCTGCCTAATAAAATAGTAACTAAATTACAAAATAATTAATTATGTTAATCGATGTAGCCAGGGCTTTATTTAAAGATTTTTTTGTTTTAATTTACAAAAAAAAACAGTTAAAGTGCTATTAAACTGCACTATAAGAATAATTAACTAACAAAATGATATAGATTTAGGAATCACAAAAAACTAAAAACTGGCAGCTAACAGCACTAAACAATTTTTTATTTATTTGATTTACTTTTAGTATAAGAAATATGTATAATTTTCATACTAATATATTTTTATAGGTTTTTTTTTCTATTACATAATAGAGAAGTTTCGAACAGTAGTGAGCTACAACAACAGAAAATATTTTAATATTTTAATTAAATGAATTTTTGGCTGATCATGCAATTGTTTCGAGTATTGCCAAATGCATATCATTAGTGGTCTTGGAAATATTTGTTGTATTTAATCATTCCTGAATAATTTTTTTTAAGATTGCAGGTACTATTTTTTGCCCTGACAAATTTGAAGTTCAGAGTCCACTGTTCTTTTGCATAACCTTATTTAAAATATTTAAAAATATATTTAGTTTCTATCGTAAAATCAAATTAATATAAACGAATGAATATTGCATATAAAATATTAATGTGTATATGAAAACTATATACGTGACTCAATTTCATTACTTAAAGTCTAGATGACTTCAAGAAAAATTATACTAAAATAATTGAACTTTTTTGCAAGCCAAAATCTTAAAGCAACTAAAACTATTTAATGGAGACCTTCACAATAATAACTACAATTCCCCAAATATATTTATGAATTCGCATACCAATATACGTATATTAAAATATATCTTTCTGTGGTCCTACATAGACCCAACCGCATGACTTTACAAGTTCATCATTTGCCTACGAAAAAAGTGGTATTGGCACAACGAAATGAAAGCGAAAGGTTATAAATTCCTTTGGGATACTTTAGATTGTTCTTGCTTGCGCTCATCCAAGGATGTTGCATATTTGCCCAATACTTCTATGAAATGCCTATGAAAATAGCTAAAATCATGTTTGCATGATTTGTAAAAAAATAATAATAAATAAAATAAAATAATATATAAAGAAAATATAAAGAAAATATTTAATTTAAGCTTGAAAGGATTTTTGTTGGGGTTTTCTTCTATATGTATATTTTGATTAATATCAGTTTTCCTATGTCAGGATGAGTAGAGTTACTTGCATGTGCCAATGGGAATACGTGGCGTGTATTTTAATACAGGCATTTAAAAGACGAACTCGTCGTCTATATGAAATTCAGAATTATTTCCATTTCATTTCATTTGTTTGCTTGTGCCTTGAGTAGAGTCCTTTTTATGCTTCCGTTTGAAGTCGAAATATTTTATTTACTCTAATTAAATAAGCAAATTTTTGCAAATACATATATTTTCAAATATTAAATTTATTTTGCTGCAATATTTTTATTTTAGAGAAAACACAATATGAAATATTTCGCTCATATCACAACTGTATCTATATCTCAACGCAAAATTGTTTATGAACTGTAGTTGCGATAGACCACTGACCAAAATATAGACCACTGACTGAGATATTTTCGCTTATAATTGCAGAAATATTCATGAAATGTTGATCGCACATGTTTGCATACATTTACGCCTTTAATGGCTTATTTTCAATTATTTCCTCCAGTGCTCAAGCTCAAGCTCAAGCCCAGCCACAACGAAAATATTTTCGATTATTCTACATTCATTCATTTTATCGATAATAGATAAATTTCATGGCAATGCGTCATTATACAAATCATTTGCGTTTTAGTTTTGCATTTTATCTTTATTGCCAAATATCCAAACATCCGCATATGAACTCCATAATTTGTGGAATTTTTTATTTTTTCTACTCGTATATTAAATATTTCTGCGAGTTTTGTCTTTTCATATTATAAATTTGTGAAATTTGTGAAATTTGCTCATATGTAAATATGTTTGCGATACATTTGTGATTCGATATGTTTTGCAGACAGCGCATTCCTGTCGTAATTATCGTACTATTATGAACAACAGAATTATTTCGAGTTTAAATCAAAATTTTATTGCCATTTAAATTTCAAATTTATTCCGACATCAATGAATTATTTGGTGAGAATTTATGAAATTTCGATTTTAAAATTGTTCTACCAGATGATATTTTTAATTAAAATTTAAGCAATTTAATTGAACTCAACTTCAACACGAATAAATAAATATGTTATTTAATATGCATTTGCAATCAAATAATTCAATCCAAAATATGTAAGTTATTTATTCAAGTTATTTATTTGTTGCCTTTTTTCCGAACAGTAATTTTTAATTCAGTAAGAAATTTTTTAAATGGTTATTCTATCTATTTTTGTACATAAAAGTTTAAGTCAATAATACAATTCTTGAACGAACAGACCTTAGACTTGGTTACCGTACCATACTAGAGACAACTCATCGTTTTCTACAGGGTTTTCTACAGGGCGATTGAAGTGTTACCTATTCAAACGACCATATCTTTTCTGTGTGAAATCATTTTTTATTGATTCAAATTTTATAAATTTCTGGAAATAATCAAAATTTGAGAATCCATTTACTATAGCCTAATAAGGCCACTTTTTGCCCTGATTATAGCCTTCAAACAGTTAAAAAATGAGTTGCATGATTCATGAATGTGAACTTCCGGTATTTCGGCCCATTTCTGAACAATGGCTTTCTGCAGCGCATATTTTTTAGTTCTCACCTTGCTCTCCAAAATAGCCCAGATAGAATAGTTTATCGGATTTGCATCTGGCGAATTCAAAGCCATTGTGAGAACGAAATGAAGTATGGAACAGGATTTTTCAACCATTCTTAGTTCACACACGAGCTTTGTGAAACGGTACCGAGTCTTGTTGGAACGTTCATGGTCTACGACTGAAATACTGAAATATTTGCATGCCCACGGCTCTTAAGCAACTTGCAAAACATTTTCCCGACAATAAATCGCATTGTTTTTCGACCTCAGGCTCGATGTAATCGATTGGAGAACATCCATACCATTACATCGGATGGAAAATTACTTCGGGTGGCCATTCGTAGTCTCAAATTTTCGGCAGTGGTGTTTAGTTAAGTAAACACGATCATTTTGAGAGTTGGTAAACTGCTCGATGGGGAAATTTTACTCAGCAGAGAACACAATGTTTGGAAATTGCCACGTTTGTGCAAGTATAACAAATCCATTGTTCTTTAGAGTCAAAGTTTTTATTGATTTAATATAAAAACTTGTGCCTTTTAGAACTTGTAATGTTCTACCTTGAGCTCATTTTGGAATAAGAGTCGAATGCTTCGCTATGCCTTTCTTAGTTCCTTAGCTATTTGATTACCACTACGACATGAATTTTGTTCACATCGAGCCTTCACTTTTGGAAACAAACCAGGTGATGTTGCTATTATTTTTCGTCCACCACCAAAGCGTTTGGAGATGATACCTATACTATTGTATAGGATTTATGGTACGATAAACAAGCACTTTATTCACTTTGAAGTGTTTGAGCTGAAATATTGGTTCGTGGGTCGAGTTGGTCAGAGCTTTCGCACCTTTTTATAGGTACCACATCATTGTTACCAACTCATTCTTCCTTGGCGTGTCAAAGCAGCAAAGTCTATGTAATTGAAGAACCTCTCTTGATCCGCAAATTGCTCTATTTATCACTTTTGGTAATATTAGTCAATTAGTATCTAGCAACAATTATTTTGCTTAACACATTTTATGGTTCAGCTATAAGAACGTATTGTATCTATGTTAATCTCGATAAGTAAGATTTAACATTTTCAACTTGATTTTTTTCTAATTGACTTTTTTGGCTAATATTTTTAAGTAGCGCCGTATTTCATTTATTAAATCTTTGAGTTGATATTTGCTTGTCAAACAAATGACATGGATAGTTGAACTTTTAGACAAAAAAAGCTACATTCATAAATGATTGATCCATTCAAAGTTCTTGACATTTTTGGTCTATTGTTGATATATACGTAGAGTACATTTTTACTTCATTAGTAAAAAAACTTAACAAAAAAAACTATGACTTTCTCACAGTGACTTTCTCTCATTAATCCAGTTGTCTAAACTCTTCAATGAAATAATATGACAGAATAGCTAATCAGCCCACAAATATATGTGTAATAAATACTTTTAAAGGTTTTTCTGAATGTTGGTATTCTATCTATGCATTTTTTATAATTTCGTTTAGAAAAAATGCTTTTAAATTGAAAGTAAAATGACATGCTGTTAAAAGATTATATCATGTCTGACCTGACATTAATATTGAGAGCATTGAATTAGTTTACTCCTGCTGCACTTAAAGGTATCAATTGTCATAAAATGCTGAAATAATTCCATTTTATCATTTTTCTAATAGAAAATTTTTTACAGCAATCGAAAGTGAAATGCAAATAATAAAATTCTTAAATGACATTTCTAAGAGACACTCTTTTGAAACTTATGGAACATAATATGAAGTTATATTTATTAAGAGAGATGCCACAAAAATACTACACAAACCTAAAACCTTTGGAAAATAGCTCATATAATATTCGTTGTGAATAGCCAGCCAACAAATGTGGGTCGCCGATGAAAATATAAAACTCATCCATAAATTTCAACACATTTTTACTTACTATTTGGCAGGAGAAAGTACATTGAATTCCTGGTGAAGAGAATAAGTGAAACACTATATTCCACTTAAAGCATCAACAAAACTATTTTCAATTTGAAATTGAGAAGCTGTGACATCAATTGTGTGCAAATGGAAAAACAAAAACGTAGATAGATACACAACAACTACATACTACATACAAACGTATCTACACTTGAGGGCAATAGATACTATATACGTACTAGTTATATACAATATAAGTAAATATATAAACAGAGTGGCATTGATATACGTATTCAATCAATGTCCTTGAACTGAAGACATTACACTTCATAGTGTTTACTCTAACAACAAACTGGGAATCATTTGTTATTACAGCAGTCGATAGAAAAATATCTATGCTTTAGCATAGATCTACACCACATAAGCCACTTGTTGTTGTTGTTGTTGTTGTTTTGGCTTTTACTAGTTACAATTTTAACAATAAATGTATTTCCAACAATTATTGTTGATATGCTGAAAATATTGTGTAATTGTACGTGCTAACAAATCGTATTTTAATTTCTAAAATAAAAAGAAATACACAATTCTATTCATTAAGTGAAATGTATAGAGATAGCTTCTTGTAACTTAGATACTCTCGTACACATGTTATACATACTATACTAATAGTATATGAGTATGTATGTATGTGATATATAATGACTAAATGATGCCAGAGTCTAAAAATTTGTTGTGATATTTTATTCCTCATCTAATGTTTTTTATTTGTTGTTAAATTTTTGTAGTTTTTATTATTTTTATTGTTCTGGTTGTTGTTGTACTTTCATTGTTTCCCCTCATGTGGCAAATGATGTTCGGAATACAAAAAACAATTTAACGTTACGGAAGATAAAGTTTCCTTGAATATTTCCTTTTCAACTTTTCTATATAAGAGCATATTTTTCAGTTAGTTTTATAGATGAATTTTTCTTTCTCATCCTCCCTTCCTCTTGGCACTGACAGCAAATCATTGTTTTATTTTAAATGAGGCCTGAAATGTTTATGGAAGAAATTAAGACATGAAAATTTTATTGTTGAACAATAAAACAACAAATGAAAGATGAAATACTCACATATTTGTCGTAAGTAGTGTCAATTTACAAAGTATTACATGACACTTTTTCAGAGAACGTTGAGAATACTACGTATAGATAACATTGTAGTTTAAAAATAAAATATTTCATTAGGGAAAATATTCTGTTCTTGGTGTGTAAAAAATATAAATATTAAAAAAAAAAAGAAATGAGAATAAAATTCCTATTTCTGGGACACTCAGAGTACATAAGCCAAATCGCTTATTATGAGCAACTTCTCATACTCTGCTCTGTTTTCATATCGCTTAGTTGTTTAGATGTCAAGCAAATAGTGAGTTCGCTATTATTATACGACTATATAGCTTATAATGTTATAATTACACTGAAATATTTTCAGTTATGTTAACATACATGACTGATACACTAAAAAGGATCGTGAGAGTTTCGTGATACAACACATCGACGAATTTACACATTCTAATTACGAGAGCTAAGCTATATAGATATCCGCCAAAGTATTAACACTTTTTAACATCATTTACGAACACTACACTCATTTTACTGAAGATATCATCTTCCAGTACAGGCAGACCTAAAATGTTGTTATGTCCCTCCAAAAATTTGTAGAATCATTCATTAGCGCGAATTTTTTTACTTTTACATGTGGTCCAGAAATAAAAAGATTCATTTGTCTTGTCGCTATTGTCCATCCAAGATAGCGTAGTCAATATCTGTATAACGTCAATATCTCAGATTTTCTTATGATGTTTACGTTCTTTAAGTTCTAAATCCACAATTTTTTTTCCTTCCTCCTCCTAGATAAAGCACTGAGTCTCAGTTAATAATTTATTCGAACTTTATTTTGGAATCGATTTTGGTTATAGTATTGGGTTTATTTATTAATTCCAAAGACATAAAAATATGTTAAATTAAAATTAAATATTAAAAAATAATCAAAATAGGATTAAGTCGTTATAGAGAACATATATGCTTGTCTAAAAAAACTTTATTACAGAGAGGAATTTTCCATTCGAAATTCTCGTGAAAAGACAAGTCAATATAGACTATAGACAAATCTATATGTATATACCATAGAAAGTTCTATATATATAGATTATAAACAAATTTACATCTATAGGTTATAGACAACTCTATATATATATATATATGTAGGACTATAGACAACTCTATATATATATGGGACTATAGACAACTCTGTATATATATAGGACTACAGACAACTCTATATATATATAGGTATATATGTAGACTATAGACAAATCTTTACATAAAGACTATAAAAAAGTCTAAATATATATTTTGCGGATAAATCTAAATACACATACCATAGATTATAGATAAATCTACATATATAAATTATAGACAACTCTATATATATAGACTATAGATTAATCTATATATAAAGACTATAGACAAGTCTAAAAATATATATTATAAATACATCTACATACATATAAATAATAGATAATGTACAAATATAGACTATAGATAAATCTATATATATATAGGCTATAGACTATTCTATAAATAGACTATAGACAATTCTATATATATAGAGTATAGACGAGTCTATATAGAAAAAAAAAACTTCAATAATGTTGTCTGATGAGGTGAATTAGACTACGTTGAGCTGGAGCTGGTTAACCTTCTGGATTATGTACACAAAATAAAAGTGGATCGTTATTTATAAAAAATGTTTACAAATGTGATACGTTCCCAAACTCTTTCTTCAATGTTCAGTACCAGTTCAGTGTAAAAGGTTTAGATAATTATTTGCTGAAACACGGTTACAATAGTCTTCTCCGAATTTTATAACAACATTGCAATATTTTCCTTGAACATCTCTCCAATATTCACATATGGATTTTTTAAAGAAATAATAAAATTTATACAAAACCAATATTTCCATAACAATTTTATTTTATATCCTAATATTTATTTTTTGTATAATTTTCAGAACCCATTACTGAAATAGTTGGCGGTCCAGAATTACACATAAATAAGGGATCAACTATTAATTTGACGTGCATTGTTAAATTTGCACCGGAACCTCCGCCCGCAGTCACTTGGTCGCACAATCGTCAAGTAAGTTATTAATGTTTTGTAAAATCTATATTTGCTTGTACATACATACACGACTATAGATAAAAAGCACGCACAGGACACAATTCAGAAATACCATAAGAAACCCAAAATATGTTGAGCACGTACAGAAATTTTTGAGCTCATTGTCAAGTTTCAATAAAGCATATGAATTACACTCATAGGTACAAAGGTATGAGGGAGTGTTTATGTACTTTTTCATACGACAAATATTTATAAATATGGGTTGCTAAGAGGACCAAACAAAGTACGCAGTAACGAAATCTCATATTTTCGGCAAAACTACACTTAACCTAAAAAATTGAAATTAATTTTTGGTATGTGATACATACACGCTGCGCTGTTACGGAAAACCTACTATCAAACCATACTCAAACCAAAGACCTCAAACAAATAGAACAACAATAGAACGAGAACTGATGATGTAGTGACGCACTTTTGTACATAAAATTTTGTGACATTTACCTTGGCAAATATATGTGATTACTTTTTGACAAGGGTCCGTTGTCCACCCTCTCTCTCTCTCTCTTTTTGTCTCTCCCCTATATGATGTGTACCGTAGGCCAATACACGACCAAATCAAGTGCAAATGTCAAACAAACATAACAATAATAAACGCATGCATAGCAACAACAATAGCCACAATAGCAACAACAACTTTCATGGAATTGACAACAAAAACAACAACAAAAGCAAATTGAAATTCCTGAACTATAAAAATGTTTAACGTATGCAAATGAGTGTATATTTTATCAATAGAGGAAGGAACAACAGCAGTGGCAGACGTAGTCGCTATAAGGCAGTCAGGCAGTCAGGCCGGCGGACAGGTTTTTCAGGCAGCATCTCCCACTAACCTTGTGCGCATTAACTTGTCTTATTTGTTAGCCCAGTTAGTTTATGTAGTTAGTTATGACAGGAACTGACTAAACAGGGCAAATGTTCTTTATCACAAACTAACGTGTTGTGCCATTAATAAAAGAAATTCTACTACTTCAAACTGCAAAATGGCAAGACTAAAAAACAAAAAATAAAAAATGAAAAACAAAACTGAAAATGAAAAGGAAAATAAAGATGTAAGAAATTTTATGGGACGAAAAAATAAATACAGAATTGTAGAGATACGAATTTTCATATTTTCCACAATATAAATTTATTTATTTTCTTTATTTAATATTTTACTTTTCTTCCGTTTCTTCTGCTTTCTCAACGCAGGTCATAAATTTCGATTCGCCTCGCGGCGGTATATCATTAGTAACAGAGAAAGGTGTCCTTACCACCAGCCGTTTACTAGTGCAGAAAGCAATACAGCAGGATTCCGGTCTCTACACATGCACGCCGTCGAATGCAAATCCAACATCGGTTCGGGTACATATCGTGGATGGTAAGTCTTTTGAGTTACCTTAACTAGTTGCAATAGAGAATGTAATAGAAAAAGTAATAGAAAATGTAGTAGAGAGTAATAGTTGAAATATTCTACTACATACTTCATTTTATTTTTCTATATGTGTATGTGTGTGTATTTATGCATGTAACTGTATGTGTTTGTATCCGTGTACTTCCTACGATAACTTTGACATTAACTAACATCAGCAAAACCAGAAAGTATCTGCATATTTATTTATATTTATGAAGTTTCAGTTTCGCTTTTCGCTTACTGTGTGCCGTGTTCTGCGCTCAACACCCTGCGCCCTCGCCCTCGCCCTGCGCGTCCTGTACCCTTACCCTTATTTGATATTTAATGTGCATACTTGATAGAAATATTGTAGCCAGTTTGGGAATTGGAAATCATACTTGTGCTAGTTACACCAATTTAAATTATGCTGCTATATTTTATCATTGATATATTGGGTGTATGCTCTACTTATGGGTACACTTAAATTGATTTAGGGTAACAAATTGCTTAAGTACAACAGGAAATTGAGTTAAACGATGTAGCAAGAAACTGAAGTAGTTTTACGGACAATTTATCTCCATGAAGTTTACTACAAGTCACAACATTCTCTACTATTCTACTCTACTGCCAAATTTATTTGAAGTAGTCAATTTGTTAGCGTAAGATACTAGTACGTTTACATAAATATGAGTGACTTTATAGTATGAAATATTTAAAATAATTTATGTTACCCTAAGTTATTTATATTCAAATATTTGTGATAAATAACCGGATATATGTAAGTTGAATGAAATTATTTATTAAGACAGATGTCCGGGTATTACATTCAATATTTGGTTATTTTTATAAATAAAATATACTAATCATTTTTGTACGACAAAAAAATGTCTGCCATATGTACGAGTTAACATAACTCATAAAAAGGAACTATAATTTTCAGCATTTTCAATAATTTTTTATTTAATCTTCAATGCTTGATCCATTAATATATTCTATTTTAAATAGTCTCCCCTTGATACTTGATAGACACATATGCTAATATAGTTTATAGTCCGAGAAATTATTTTGAAACGCCTTTTTAAATAGTTTCCATAAAGATGACTATCGAAGATAGCCCAAATATCGGAAAATATCTTATCTAAATATCTAATATTATAGTTTTAGCCCGCTCATAAATTCTAATATAATCTTAAAACACGTTTGCGATTTTATTTTTATATCAGCTTTAATTAAAAAATGTTGTCTTTTAGAAGACTGTTTCTGAACACAAAACGTACTGTGAACAATAATCAACCTATTTTGTAAGGACCAGAACAAATACATTTTTAAAAACCAATGTCATAAATAACGAAAATACGATATATAACTGACTGGTGTTACGAATGATGCTGGTGAGGAAATCCTATTTTCAAATGTTTTTGTAAGTTTAAGAAACAAAAAAATAATAAAAGGAGTCTATGTCTCATAATAATCTCGTAAGTGCTTGAAAAATTAAAATGAAGCTGGTAAGCAATAAACTCCATCGTAACTCATTTCAAATTCAAAATTAATGTGAAAGGCGTTTGTCAAAAGTCATGTATCAGTTTTATTTCTTCCGCTGTCTCTTGAATTTACGCCTAAGGCTTTGTTGAACATATTTTACTACAAAGTCAAACTCCCTGATCCGATACATTGTCACACAGAAAAGTTCGAAAATGAACCTCTTCTTCATCAAGTCAACAAACACAAACCAAAACTCACAGCTGTCTGACAGTTAGTACGTATGTTGCTGGTAGTGCAACCAATACATAAAAATATGCTGACAACACATAACATATAATTTCCCAAATTCTCGTTACTTTTTAAAAATATACCATATTAAAATCGTACTAAATAGTACGGAATGTATTTAACGTGATATAACTTGCTTATTGATTTAAGACAATTTTTGTAGAAAGATATACTAATACTTCAATCTACTATTCATTTTTAGACTGTAGAATAGAGTTGAATTCATGATTCATATTCAGGTAAGAAAGAAAAAACAAGGTTTTAACTAAGATTGTATCTTATATACACATAATTATAAATTAATAAAATTCTCAACTATTTTGCAAGTACAGGTAAAGTAATGTTCCTATTATTCCACTAAGCACATTAAGGCTCTTTAAAATGCTTAAGACGAAAAAAAAGTTTTTTTTCGGCACTGGCTAACCTTCTTCTTAGTGGAACTTAAACTTATACCTACAACTACCCATGTAAGAAGCAAGATCGAAATCGAAACTTATACAATTGTATTTGGAACACTTGTAACACTTAACAATGCCAGTATGATGACCTTTACAAGACCTTTACGAAGACTTTAACGAATCAATGACTTGATCTGCCAATTCCCTTGATGACACTTGCAAATTAAGTGATCACGCGAAATATTAAAACCACGCTTACAAAGATTGTATTTGTATTGTGAATCGTACGAATATAAGACTTGGTTGGAAAATAACAATATTAGAAGACTAACTCAAGTCTACTCAAAAATCTAGACTCAAATTAATAAGGTTTGTGTTACGAATCTGAAAAGTGATTAGTAAATATCAATATTATGAGAACTATTTATAATGCTTGTATATACATTGGCTTTAGTGTACTAGACTTAGCTTATGTATGTCATACAATTTCGATTGATATGGCTAAGATATAATGAATGGTCTCTTTTAGTATGTCTCCAGGCAACATTAAATATAATTTTTAATTTAAATCGTATTTCTAATATATCTGTTTTAAAGTAATTACTTGTGGCAACATAACTTGATTGAAACAAATTATTACTGTGACTAAACTACCTATCAGTGACAAACACTTTACAAATCATAGTCTAATAAAATATCTCTCACTTTACGAAAGGAATAGAAAATATTGTGAATTATTTACATTCTCAATAAATACAGCAAATAGAAAATCAAAAATTCCAACAATTGTCATTCTCAAAATGTCTGCAAAATACTTGATGAACTCATGAAAAAGGCTGCAGAGGATCAATATGAAGAACCGCAATAACGAAACTATGTTTAGAGTAATCAGCAATTGGCGAAGTAGCCCAGCTGATATCATGATTATATCGTCTAATACAATTTATGACAAAGATATGAAAAGGATATAGTAATGTAATGGACTAAAGCTCACAGATACAAGAACTAATATTATACTGGAAGATCTGAACATTTTTGTGCACAATCTTTAAGCAAATTCCCTGAATAAAAAGATTTGAATATATTATAAATTCGTTGCAGTGTACCTAATGTCAGCAAACTCAGTATTATATCTAATACTTTTCTCAGCAAACTAGTATTTATTCTTATGTCCTAACTGATGGTCAGTTACCACGAAACAGCATTATGAAGAAAACTGGTAGTCCTATAGACCATAATTCTTATAAATGAAAACTTTTAACATATTTTGATGCATTCCTTGTTCAATCATTTGTAAATTTCACATCAACTAACTCTACAAATTGAACAAACAAAGCAATAACATACAAACAAAAACAAAACATTAATTCACTCAACTTTTGTCATAAATTTAATTAAATATATTTATGATAATTTCATTCATACCAGGGATACATAAAAATTATATACAAATAGCACTTCTCACTGAACCAAAGAGTACCATAAATAAACTATATCTATCAAGTCTTATAACAGGAAACAAACTATATAATGGATGTCTATAAAAATTCATCAAAGCAAATAAGCAAAAACTATAAATATTCATAACATACATAAGGTATACATCTATAATCTTTGTCCTGATGATATTACGGTTGATTAAAGCTTTTACATATTCAAAATATTAGATACTTCCACTCACTTTCAGCAATAAAAATAAATTAAAATGACTAACAGAGTTAAGCCTCTTCATTGTAACTTAAAGATAAGCTAATTAACTAAAGTAGCTACTTAGACAAGTCATTTTTATATTTCTCTTTTTATATTTGTGTTGCTTTTAGTTGCTCTTACAACGGCTCAAAACTATTTTGTCAAGAAAAGAAAACACTCATACGCCATGTATGACATTTGCTACTTTTACTGCTTTGTACTTTATATGTAATTATTCTGTTCGAGTGCCCAAAGGATTCAATTTCATTTCACCTAACACAGCTTCGTGTATATACATATATATATAGTTTTGTTGTTGTTGTTAGTCAGTTATTCTGCTCGTTGTTGCCATGTCTGTTAATAGGTTTAGGCGACTTAAGGACATTTTTCTTGAAATTGTGTTTTCACTTTGTTATTTATGTTCACTTGAGTTTTACTGTTTCAATTTGTGATGAATTTGCTTTAATACTGTGTCAAGCTCAAATACATTTCAATAGAATTAATAAAATAAACATAATAAAGTTTAGTGTTATTAACTCAAGTGGAAATTAAATTTGTTAAATGCTTTATTTGTAGCTTGATTAAGCTAAAATGCTCAAAAAGAAAATCTTGCTTTGTTAAAGCATTGGAATATATTTAATCCTACAAAGGGATATTAATTTTGAGTTAGAAATAGTTGAAACGAACTTAAAATACACGTTTGTTCAAGATTTTAATTCAATTTATTGCTTGGAATTGAACACTAGGTTTGAAAAACAACATTATTCAAATGACTTTCGAAGAAGCAACTTTCGATATGAGATCTATTTGAAATAGTTTCGGAGGACTGTGGTTGGCATAAAGATGGTGATAACGTAGCCATATCTTAAAGGATGTTTATGTTCCATGTTTATGTTCATGATTGTGGCATCTTGAGATTATTGTCACAAACACGATCCTCTGTGTTTATCAAAGACATACCCTGTAGCCTACAAAGTAATTCCATTTGTTACAAATTGTGTATTTGTGGCCTACGAGAAGCATACGAGAAGAGTCTCGCTTATCAAATTCAAAAAAGGATGTGACATGTTGAACTAGTTAAAACCATATAACTTTCACATCTACACCTGCAATCTTTCGTCAAAAAAAAACTAAATAACCATGTGACTAAAGATATAAGAATTGTTAGCTTGTGTCATACCGTCGGCGTCTTCAAAGAAAATACGAGCCTATCACACCTCCAAACTAAATGCGATACCCAAAAGTAAGTCTTTTAAAGATCAATGTTCTTGTGACAGTCATTTGTCTCTTTTTACTGTCCCAAATTCCAGAAATTTGCGTTTGGCCAAATATTTTAAACAAAAATATAGATCTCATGTCACAAAAAATCGTGTTCCAGACGCTGTTGTTTAAACACCCATTCAACATATGTTCTGAGCACTGCATGATATTATGAAATGTAAATCCTTGAATTTTACATACCATAGCAATTCTGGTTGACATTGTCACTGGAAGAGTGCTGCGAAATGGATAAACTTTAAAGAGAAAGATTTAGTTTTATTTATTAGATGAAGACAAAGATGGATGATTTCAAATGTGCTCATACCAGCTTAATCAATGAAGATCAAATGGTCAAAAACTATCTCCACATATAAATTAGAGTTTAAACATTGTTGTAACATCATAACCGATAAATATCTTCTTCTTGAATGGCCAAAAACTTCCTTTACTGACGAGCTTAAACGTGGTCATACCAACTTAGCTGATATGAAATCCGTTCCAAATCGTAAAAACTGTTTCTGATAGCATTTTATAAGATAATTTTTTTTCAAAGATCCATAACTCTTGATGAAACGTTGAATATGGTATATAATAAATTTAACTGGTTTAATGACTGGTATTTAAAAATCAATATTCCTCAAAAATATTCTGCAAGTATTAAAAAAATACCTTGTATATTTTGACCACAATTATTGAGTATTTTGAATGAAATTATTTTGTTAAAAATCAAAGTTTTCGCAAAAAAAGAAAAAAATTCTTTTAAATCTTTTGTGCGGATAATTAACGTTTAAATTGAATTTATTGATTTCATACCCAATACCGAAAAATACACAATTGAGCACAAAAAATATCAAATTTTCATGCTAACCATTAGCGCTACACTGAGAAAAAACTGCCGCTGGCAAGTTTAAATAAATTTCAATTAACGCAACACCGAATTTCGGCACTACCTAGGCACTCGCACCACACCTGCAAACCAAGCTCTACACACATGTGTACTTGCAACTTGCCAGTGGAGTCGCGTAGTTGTGTAGTGTGGCTGGAGCACACCCACCTCACGTATTCACATCCGCTCGTATCGAGTGAATTTAATGGCGCTATTAACTTCGTGCCGCTGACATTGGCAAATGATTAAGCCAATTTGCAAAAGTATAAGGCAATTATTTTCAATTGAAGCCCAAATTAATATTGAACATCGGCAGCGGCAGATAACCGTATTAAAGCTGACGCTAAGGTTGTGTATGAGACCGATATGGTGTGGTGGATGGGGGGAGTAGTAAACAATATTAAAGGCAAGTGAGTGACTTAAGCGTTACAACATTTATATAGCAAGTAACATGCGGCGCAAAGCACTGCCCGTGGCTGAAGCGGAAAACCACAAAAACACGCAACAAACTGACGTCACTTACGTACGCCCGCATCGCACAGTAAGGGAAGCTCGGCGCAGTGAAGTTAAGTAAGGATATTCTAGGCAGCCATTGGTGTTATAAATAAGGATTAAACGCCGTTGTTGCCTGCAATTGTCTGATGCTGTGCTGACTACACACAGTTACGCCTGCCGACGTTGCCTTCATGCCTGTCAAGAAACGAACTTTTTTTTGTTTAAAGAAGAAATTTAGCAAAAAAAGTCAGCAAAAAAATCAGAAAAAGCACAAGAGCTAAGGGGGAAGGGGTATACATCAAAATATTGAACACAATTAAACTTAAAGCAAAAATTTTATTTGATTTGTAGCAAATTTGTGAAAATATAAAAAAATATCTAATATTTGTTGTTAAATGAAACAAATAAATTAAACGATATTAGAACACGGAAAAAGGAAATAAAATAAATAAAAAATAAATAAATTAAAGATAAACAAAAAAAAAAAATAAATAAATGAAAATATATAAAAAATAATAAATATAATATTAAATAAATAAAAATAATATAAAAAAAAAATAAATATAACAAAAAAAAATATGAAAAAAAACAATATAAAAATAGTTTAAAAAAATAATAAAAAATAAAAAAAATAAACAAAAAAAATAAATAAACAAAAAAAAATAAATAAACAAATAAAAAAATAAATAAATAAAAATTAAGTAAATAAAAAATAAATTAATAAAAAATTAATAAAATATTAAATAAATACAAAATAAATAAATAATAAATAAATAAATAATAAATAAATAAATAAAAAATAAATATAAAAAAAAACAATATAAAAATAATTTAAAAAAATAATAAAAAATTAAAAAAATAACAAACTATCTTAAAAAAAATAACAAAATAACTTAAAAATAATTTTAAAAAAATAATAACAATTAAAAAAAACCTTATAAAAAAGTAAAATAAATTGAACCCTATCTATTCGCTATAATTCCGAATGAAAAATCTAAAAAACAATGGACCGAATATGTAACGACAGATTTAAGAATAACTTCAATAAATATAAAACACAATGGAGACATGTGATAGTTGCAGTAAAAATATCTAGATCGAGTATTAGTCTAAGATCAAAAATAACCAATAACACGCCTTTGGAACAGAATACCAACATATCGAATAGAGTTACAATTACATTAATAATAAACAAAAGAACTCCAATAAAAAAATATACCGAGCGATTGAAATTACCATCACATCAACAGTAATATAGGCAACTAAACTTGCCTCAAACAATTTAAAAAATAGTTAATTTCTCTAAATCAAATTTACAAAACTTGTGATATCAGCAAGTAATACGAATTAGTTGTACCGTAAGCAATCAGCTGATTATAATGCATACGTAAAAAGTCAATTAAATGTTCTTTTTTCAACAATATAGGAGAAGGTTAGGAGAAAAATTACAAAATTGAACAATTTTTTATTTAAATTGAAATTATTGTATCTATGAAAAAATAATAATAATAAAAGAGCATTATTTTAATTTTTTTTTTTACTTTATGACTATTCAATGTTAGGATATTTTAGAAAAATAAACAAAGCACATATGAAATACATATTTCATTTAGATCAATGTGAACAGTTGCCCCATATGGGAATTTAATTTGCCTTTAAATAAAAAATTTTTTACTGATAAAAGGGAGCATAAGTTATCATTAAATGCATAAATGATCATTTATAACTTAATTGAAGAAATTTAAATCATCATTAGCAGCTTTTCAATGAGCAAATTTAACCATAATAACTGTTCCTTTTGATTCTCAATACCAAGTACCAATACCAACTATTTAAATGTAGTTAGTGAAATATACTATTTACTGTAGCTATAAACGTGATACTAGTTCTTTTACTCCCATTGATGTTTAATGATAATTAACACCAATGGAATGTTTTTTTAAATGCTCATTGAATCTTGTTTAATTATCATTTATTGCTTTCGTCTGTTAAAATTATGACAACTATTTCTTTTATTAATATTCCTCCTTCAAAAGAACTTATTTGGTAATTTTTAAAATTTTAATACAACTCATTAGAGAATTTGTCGAAAATAAACTTCTTTTATATATAATTTTTAATTGATGCTTTAACATTAAAACTGTTAAGGAAATTTTTCCCCTAAATTTCATCTACTTTCGCAATTAAACAAATCACCCAAAAATCATGGAGACCCAGACCCACCTTAGCTACAGATACGTTTCCTGTTTCCTTCCGTGCTAAGTGTCTGCACGTGTTCCTTTAAATTTCCTTAAAAATGTACCTGTGTTCCTTTGAGGTGCCCTCAAGTATTTTTGAAGAAATGTTGATGAATGGATGTGAGGAGTCTGTGTTTGTATTTTAAGAATGTATATTTATAATATAAAGGAACGGTAACGCTTTTGAATTTTTTATTGCTTCAATTAAGTTAATGGGGCAATAAAGTTAAGATTTTTTTTTTAAATTTTAAACGAAAATATTTCTTAAATTCCTCTCTTCCTGTGCAGTTTATTTTAATTTATTTGTTCATTCAGCGTGTTGGATGTGTTGTTGGCTATAAGATTTTCTATTTTCTATTTTTTCTTCTCAGTAGAAAAAACTTTGTGTGAATAAAATTCTTTTATGCATATCGAGAAGCTAAGAAATTGTTACTCTTTGACAGGTGAACATCCTGCAGCAATGCATCATGGACGCTCCTCACAGACTACACCAGCAATGGCTTTACTGCTTGTTCTCACAGTGTTTATAGTTTCCTTACAATATCAGAATACATTAAGCCAAAGCATACGCTGGAATTATGCATCGGCAGCAAGTCGATGCCCCTCCTATCAAACTGGAGATATGCCCATAAAAACTGGAGAGCTTGGAGTGCGAGAATGCAGTAAAACTGAATTGCCAAAGACATAACCATTAAGTGGACGCAGCAACCAGAACAACGTGAAACGTATGTAAATTATAAATTCTTTTTTTTTCTTTTAGGTTTTTAGTACTTAAACGAAGAATTCTAGCATTTAAGTAAAGGGTAAAGAGAAAACACATTGAATAAATAAGATGATAAATGTTTACTAAAGCAAATTGAGTAAAACAACAAAAAAAACAAAAAAAAAAAAGGAAAATTAAATTCCAACAATTTATCCTGTTATCACTAAAATAAGTAGTTTATTTATTTATAAAGAAATTAAATTGTAAGTGTTTAAGAACTTTCATATGATGACGTAAAACAACAAATAAATATAAATTATTATGTGTGACTAAAAGTGTTTAAATATAAGCAGAAGTTGTAAAATATTTATGTTAGCTTTCTTTTAAATTATAAAATTTTATTATTTAAGTTTTATTAAAAAGTTGAAGGACGAAAGTCGAAGGATTCCTTCTCTTTCGACTAATAAGTAGTTGAAGTTAATATTATTTCATATTTTCAATTTCTTACTTTAACATACATTTTTGTATAAATCATTTATTTGTAAATTAAACTATGCAATTTATTTAAAAACAAAATATTTGTTTTAATATTTGAGAATTTTTCTCATTTTCCAAAATTCATGAGTTCTCCAAATATCCTTGTAAGAAAATATGCAAACAACTTTTTGCAACTAAAAACTTTTTGCAATTTCTTAGGTAGTCAAGTAAATGTATTTTAAGAGTTTTAGTAATAAATACTTTCCAAAGTAAATATAGAATATTGAATTTTAATTATAAACGTAGCATTAAAACTAGTTTTTATTCACATATAAAGTCCAAGACTAAATATTCAAAACTAAAACAAATACAATTTACAATATGTAATAGTTAAATTCTGTACGAATAATTAAATTTTACTAAATAATGTAATATTTTGTATATTTTTATTGTAGATTTTAAATTATTATAGCTCTAAGCTAAAAAATTCAATTACCAATTATTTACCAATAGGCCAGGAATATTCATAAAGTTTTTTAGTTCATTAAATTCATTTAACATTATTTTGAATAGTTATGATGTCAATGCATGAAAGTCTTGAAGATATCAAGATTAATTTAATTGAAATAAAAATTAATAAAATCAAACAGTAATAAAAAAGCGTGTCTATTAGATTGTTAGGAAAGTAACTTCGTAACTTACATGAACTTAAATGTAATATGAACTTTGGCTTAACACATAATTTCTGATATTAACACCCATTTTACACGAATAATTGACATAAAACGGCTTATAAAAAAATGTTCCAAACAATTTGGACATTGTACAAAAGTGTTCCAAAAATTTTGGACACTGTAGAAAATTTTTTTAAATAGAGTTTTGTTAATTTCTCGTGCGAAATATATGTTAGCAATAAGTTTGAACCGTATTAACAACTGATATGAACAAAGCTTATTAGTATTAAAGTTTAATTGTCGACAAAAATTTTTGTTTGGTATTCCTTCAAATATGGAATGTCATAAACAGTATTTTCGACAAATTTCCTTATTTGAGTGTTGCAAAAATTTTTTTTTGTGTAACAAAAAATAAAATTAGTCGATTTGGTTGTACTGACAAAATAACAGTGCTATATTCCGTTACAAAAACACGTTCTTGCAAATTTAAAGTTGAAAATGCATCTTTGATCTTTTGAATGACCAATTGAAACTGATAAAAATGAACACTAAAATAAAGGCGCTGATTAAAGCAATCCACCGAATAACAACTAATGAAATAGCATGAAGATCAAATTGATCCAATACGACTATTCATGTTAATATGAAACGCCTGCCTTAATTCAATTTCAAAACTCAGAATATGGAGTACACATGTTTTTATTGAAAATGTATCAATCACATTAACGCTTTAAATTCTTTCCCTTGAGCAGAAAAGAGGAGTTTAAGTTTCGTAAAAACCAATTTAAGAACTAATTCTATTGACTGAGCAATTGTATTGATTACGCGATGTAGAAACTGAAAAGCCAGAGCACATGCAAAAGATGTATTGCGTATTAAATACTTGATAAAAAGTAAGCAATGCTATAACATTCTATATTTTTTAATTATTGCAACCAAAAAAATTTAAATGATTAATTGATATGATAAATATATCAATTTTGATCACTAATCATAATATTCAAGATAATTAGTATACCAATAAGACTTTAGAAAGTGGTTCAATAAAAGTACAGATTCCCCTTTTTCAAAAAGAACCAAAAACTAAGACCATTTGAAGCCAATTTTTGAAGCCGACAAGAAATAATAAAAAACTTAAAAAATATTTTATTACCATAAAAGTAAGAATACTACTTTCCGAACAGTCCGATATATTAACACTTCCAGAAAAATATAATTGCTTATTTAAATAAAAACTAAACAACTGGACTGTAAATTTATTTGAATTAAATTAGTGATCTTTTTTCTACTTTCACTTTAATTTCAATTTATTAGCTATATTTATATTATTAATTTTAGTTTTATATATACATACATATGTATATATATTGTTTATATTTATTACTTTTATTTTATTACAATAAATTTAACACATTCAAATTTGTAAATATTAGATACTTAAGTAAAAAAAAACATAAAATCTAAAAACTCATTATACATTACATGTTTTATAAAAATATAAATAATTGTTAAAATATAATACATATTGAAAAAATGTGACATTAAGTCCTCAAAAATAGTTAATTCAAATTAAGAAAACAATTAAAATTTTCTCTTCTCAGTGTACTTAACTACTTAAAACTTAACCGAGACTTTGTTATGAATTGATGTATGTGATGAATAGTTTGCATTATTATAAATGCAAAATACATGAAAAAAAAACACGAAATATATTTATAAATATTTAAAAAAAAACCAAAACTGATTTAGTGTTGCTCTAGACATAATCAAAACGCACAGAACTCACAAAAAAAATTTCACAACTGAATTATCTATGTTAATTATAAATTCGTCAAAGTGGTACGAGTATTAACTCCAGAATCAGAAAGACAAGTATCACCGAAACCCTTTGTACATAAGAAAATTAAATCATAAGGAGAGGGACATCTTACAATAAGAGCTCTAAGGTAACACAGCATACCAAAACAGATCTAGGTGAAGTTTACCATGGACTTCCTTCGGAACATAACCTAACCTAATCCAAAGATATATACAGATATGTCAAAACAACATATTCAGATATTATTCAGATATCAAACTCTTCTAAAAGAGGTGACCAAATTAAATTGAAACTGAGTTATCAACTCCTTGTGACTCTTAAACACAATAAATTGCAACACTAAATTACTATGTAATTAGAAGTCATATTGAACATATTATGAAAGATAATAAAAAAATAGTATGTCGAGCTATAAGGAAACAGAAATATCTTAAGACAAAAAAGAGAAATAAATAAAGTTGAGATACACGTTAAACGAAATTTAAGTTATTGTTAAGTCTTATAAAATATAAATTCAAAAAAAAAAAATTACAATTATTGTAAGATTTTTAATACTATAATTAATTTTAAAAACAAACAACAAAAGACGAAACCAATTAAATTAAATAAAAAACTGTCATAAAAAAGTTTTATCTTAAAATTAGCAGTAAAGCAAAAGAAACAAAAATAAATGAAGATTATTATTTAAAACATTAATTAATTGCAAAATAATTGTCAAAGAAATGTAAACGATATTATACTAATGATTTAAGTCAAAAGGTCAAGGATCAATATATAAAATACATCATTTGTATTGCCTATTTTGCAGTAAATAATTATAAAAAAAAAAACCTAAATAATCATATTTAATAAAGTATTTATAAACGTTTTTAACTACCTATACTAAAATAAAAAACAAGGACAACTTGGAAGAAGAAAAAGAAGAGAATACTGATTGAATTAATATTAAATTATTATTGATTAATTCAATAATATTATATTATTATAATTATCATAAAATAAAACAAAAATTTACTAAATGCAAATTATTGAAAAAGTGAATTGAAATAAAAATGCCAGTGTATAAAATAAGTGAAATAAATGTCTTTCAATTTTATCTTATTTATCCAATAGAGAATGAATAAATGGTAATAGTGAGAAAATTTTTAAATTCAAAAAAAATTTCTGAATCAAAGATACTCTGGGACTGACCATACAATATATGACTGTATAATATAATCCGACTGAAATATCAATCATATAAAGTGGTCTTTAGAAAACATTTTTTTTTCTATTCTAAATAGGTGGCTTGTCATAGGACATATTAACTAAAATAATTACAAAAACATATGTTAAAAAAATATAAGTTGGAAATAAAATATAAATCAAAAAGATATATAAGTTAAAAAAAAATGTAAGCTCAAATCAAAACAAGTATAAGAAAAAAAGAAAAACCAGCAAAAAATTAATATTAAAAATCAAAAACAAAATTAATAGAAAAACGAAATAACAAATAGAAGAAGAAAATAAATAAGTGTAGGTAAATTCAAGGGTTCTAATTCTCTTAGATCGGCAACAAACATATGCCGTTGGCTGCTCCTACCATCCACCTGACACCATAGATTCGCCATCACTGTATAGAATGTGAAATTAATGGAAAGGAATTAATTTTCAGTTTATTTATTCCTTTAAACGCTAATTATGAGATCAAAGCGTTATGATCACAAAATATTCTATAATCTAATATAGATAAAGAATAAAAACAAAAGGTCCTTTGAAGTATTTACTAAAATAATTTATTGAGACTAGGAAAATATTATCATCAAAATACTTTCCTAGTATCATTTTTTTATTAGTTTTCTTGTCAACAGACCTTTTCACTATATACATGTATGTAAAATAAAAAAACTCTGCTACACTATAAAAAAAAGGAACATCTAAACTACATAAGAGAACAAACATTTTTTGCAGTTTTGTTGTTTTTTTTTGCGTTTGAATAGTGCGCAAGCGCCAAATAATGAAAACCGCAAGGTTAAATAAACGCACAACAAATAAAAGCAACTTCAGTGGTAGCCACAAAAGTTGACTTGCTTGCGCTTTTGCATTTTTCAACTTCAAGCAAACTGCGCAACAGCCGCAGAGTTGAGAACACAAATAACCAATAAAAAAAAAATACAAGCAATAACCTGCAAATTATACATACTTTACGGATAGCAACGGGCGAACAGCGCTTAAAGCAGAATTCTAAAACATTCTGCATTAAACGAACTTCGAATAAAGCAAGACCATTAAATGAAGAAAAATCTAGAAGAAAAAAACCGAATAGCCGACGCCGACGTGAATAGCCGAAGTAGACCGAATGCTTGAAATCAAGTGCAACATGAAGCACAAAAAAAGTGCATAAACTACATTTTCACAATGTATGAACGTTGATTAGTTTGTTTAATAAACATTTTTATAAATATATTTATACAAATAAAGAAACAATACAACTTACATAGATTAATTCTTTTTTAATTCCAATTATCAAAAGGTTTAGCAAACCTCACATACCATCAAGGTAACGGTAAACTTTACCAAATGGTCTTTAAGAAAACAAAATCTTTTTTGCTATTGTCTTAATTCTCACTTCTCGTCTTAATTTAAACAATTACATTACTTATATTAATTATTTAAACAATAACTTTAAGATTTGTTTCAAAATTTCACTCGGCTAAAATCTTACGACGTCCGCGCAAAAAACTTGCGGAGTCAACACTCGCACAGCTTAAATAAAATAACCGGATATTAGAAATTGTCAAATGTCATAGAGGCGCTACCTAGCGTTAAAACTGAGTAATTAATTACTTCGCAGTGTTGCAATCGTATAAAATACTATTCAATTAAAATTTGTTAAAGCGATGTTCACGCATTGCAATAAAATTTTTAAAATTTTAATAAAAAATTTATTTTGTGCGAATATAAAAATCAAGTACGGCTTTGGGTCAGTTAGTTTAGGAGCGCTGACTCTGAGCTTTACATTTGGCAGGGACGAGTTCGATTCCTGGTACTTGCAGTCTCAAGAAATTATTTACAAATAATTAAATACAAAAATTATTTTCAATATCACTGATGATAGGTATTTGACTATACTCGAAACAGCTGATGGTCAGCTAAAAATTTAATTAATTAAAATAATATAAAAATGAATTTCTGTTGTTGTAGTTCACTACTTTTCGAAAAACCTCTTTAGTAAAATATTTGTTAATACATATTATTAATTTCTAAATATTTTATAATCTAATACTTCATAAAATTATTGATATTCTTTTTAAATAATTTGATATAAAGAAATTCGATAAACATGTGCGAAAATTTATTAATGAAGTTTTCTAGGAATTTCTTGAAAACATTTTAAAGTTATTGAACCAACACGTTATTAACTATTATATATTTTTAGCAAAAGTGAAACACGGTCCGATGTATTTTTAACATGTTCTTTACTTCGCTTTATTAACTATACTAAAAATGAATAATGAATAATAATTACAAAAGGAATATAGAATAATGACAGGCCAGAGTTGCCAGGCAATTAATATTTAAAAAAGTACTTTACATAACAACACCCCCTCTTAAAGTGCTTTTATTATGTGTAAAATATGACTTTAATATTTCATTCCTAATTTCCGTAAGCAATTAACATGCTTTTCTGTAGTGAGTCCTTTGGTAAGGACGTCTGCGGGCATTTCTTCTGTTGGCATATATTTGATTTTAACAGTGCCGTCGTTAACCTTGCTGCGAATAAAGTGATAACGAATATCAATGTGCTTTGTCCGTGGATGATACCTGAAGCTTTCCGTTAATTTTTGAGCGCTTTGATTATCATTAAAGATTTCAATTGTTTTACTTGTAATGCCAACATCATCAAGGATTGCCTTTAGATATAACGCTTCTTTTGTGGCCTCAGATATGGCCATATATTCTGATTCAGTGCTTGAAAGCGCTACTGTACGTTGCTTTCGAGCTTCCCAACATATCGCTGCTCCTGATATAATGAACGCATACCCTGAATATGAACGTCTATCGTTTAAGTCAGCGCCCCAATCAGCGTCAACCAGACCATACAATTCTTCATTGTTTTTCTCATACAATAGACCATAGTTGCTTGTACCTTTAAGGTATCTTAGAATTCGTTTTGCTGCTTTCCAATGTTCCACGTTATAATTTGAATTGAACTGGCTAAGAAAGTTTACAGCAAACGCAATATCAGGTCGAGTTGTAACAGCTAAGTACATTAATGCTCCTATCAAGCTTTGATAGGGATACATCTTCATAACACCTTCATCAATTTTTGTTGGTTTCGTTAACTTAATGTTCAATTCTATGGGAGTCTTCACTGGTTTACAGTCTTTCATATTGAACTTTTCAATGATGCTTTTTGCATACTTCTCTTGTGAAAGAAAAACTTGATGATCGCTTAAATTTTGATGAAACTCGATGCCAAGACAATTACTTACTATTCCCAAATCCTTCATTTCGAAATCATTCGCAAGTGCAGCCTTTATTTCTTTTATACGAAACTTATTATTGGACGCTATTAGTAAATCATTTACATATATTGTCATCAAAACAATGTCGTTACCTTCACGCTTAGTGAATACACAAGGATCCTGTTGTACTGCACTTAGACCCATATTCTGTAGTTTCTTTGTCAATTTCATGTACCATGATAGCCCAGACTGACGAAGTCCATAAAGAGCTTTCTTTAATAAACATACAGGTGACTTACTTGATTTAATCGCCTTTAACCAATGCTGCGCTGTTTCTTTAACTTTTCCACACAATATTGTTGAAGTTTTTCCCACTGGTTTTGATGAAACAACTTTGTTCAGGAATGGTATAAGATAATCGGGAATTTCCATGAAGACACTCTCTTCGAGCTCTCCATTTAGGTATGCTGTAATGACATCCATCTGATGGATCTCCAAATCCATTTTTGCTGCCAGTGCCGCAAGTAGTCTTATAGATGTTGAACGAGCGACTGGAGAAAACGTATCATGAAAGTCTTCACCTGGTCGTTGTGCAAAACCCTTCGCTACTAATCGTACTTTCTGTTTTTCGTCATCTTTAGTTCGAAGCACGAATCTATTCCCAATAACTTTTCGTGATTTCGGTCTTTCGACCACTTCCCATGTTTTATTCTTTAGTTGTGCCACCATTTCGTCTTCTAGCGCTTTTGACCAGGAATTTGTTTCATCGCTTTCAAGTGCCTCCAAAATCGTTACTGGAGTTTGATATGTAGTGAGAAACGCCATTTCACAATCTTCAAAAACAAAAACGTTGTTGTCAGGTTCATCATCTGAATGGTTTTTATCAGCAATTTTTCTTACTGAACTTGTATTTTCGTCTTCGTTGGATGATTCTTCACCATTCCGATTTGACGTGTAATATTCTTTTCGAGGCCTACCGCGTGAATTTGTGCGAATAAGTCTCGGACGACCTCTTCTACGAATGGAGTTTTCTTCTCGCGTATCTGTATTTTCTACAATTTTCGGATTGACCGACAGTTTCTGATTTTCACAATTTTCGAACGCAATATCGATATAATCATTTGTTTGGCAGTCGTTTTTATTGTTAATATAAATGTTTTCGTATTTATTATGATAGATATTTTTGTTTACGAACACGACATCACGGCTTATTGTTATATTTCGTTTTGTAGGTGACCACAGCCGATAGGCTTTCGCTTCGTTTGAATATCCAACAAACATGTAAGGTTCTGACTTAGAATCGAATTTATCTCTAGTCTTATCCTTTTTTAGGACATATGCTTTAGAGCCAAATACTTGAAAATGTACAATAGTTGGCATTTTACCAGTCCACAACTTGTGCGGTACTACACCGTTCAATGCTTTTGTAGGACACCTATTCCGAATATAGCACGCTGTATTTATGGCCTCTGCCCAAAAATTTGGCGAAACTTCAGCTTGTTTCATCATGCAACGGGCCATTTCAACTAGAGTTCTGTTTTTACGTTCAGCAATACCATTTTGCTCCGGCGTATATGGAGCAGTTAAGCGTCTTTGTATACCAAATTTCCTCAAGAATAAATTAAATTCAGAATTAACGTATTCTCTACCATTGTCTGATTGTAAAGCCTTAATTCGTTTACCCGTAAATGTTTCTACTGCTCTTTTGTATTGCTTAAATACATTTAATACATCGGATTTTTGTTTTATAAAATATACATGACAATAGCGTGATTTGTCATCAATAAATGTTACGAAATATTTTGCATCCGAATTTGATGCTGTTCTCATTGGTCCGCACACATCACTATGCACGATTTCTAATAAGTCACTTGTTCTAGTTTCTTTACTCTTAGGAAATGGTTTTTGTATTTGTTTTTCACTAATACAAATTTCGCAAGTCGGAAGTTTTTGTTTAGGATTTAATTTTAATCCGTGTACTAGGTTATTACTAGCCAATTTTTTAAGATCGTTTTCATTTATGTGGCCCATTTTCTGGTGCCACTTTTCAATGTCACATTTTTCTTCAGCAACTTGTGCAAAATGATTTTTATTTTCAACAATAAAAAGATTTCCACATCTTTTCGCTCGAGTTATAACCTTCTGATATTTGTCCAATACGATTGCATCTGAAGGGCGAAAATGCACTTCATATCCGCTGTCTACTATTTTTGATACAGAAAGTAGACTTGTACGCAAGTCCTCGACATATAGAACTTCTTTAAGATCAATGTTATTATCACGACCGTATACGTCTACAGTTATTTTCATTTTACCGACGCCGTTTATATTTGTTGTGTTGTCGTTTGCTAAGTTAAGCACTTTATTCGATTTTTGAAAGTCTGTAAAATATTCACGGTTTGCACTTAAATGGGCAGTACATCCACTATCTAGGCACCAATAATTTTCTTTTATTGAGCTAATAAATGCATCTTCAACATGATAGCTAAAATTATTGTTTACAGATTTTTCCGAATTTTTCAATTGCGTGTTATTTTCAGCTTTTGCTTTATTTTTACATTCACGTGCAAAATGTCCGATTTTGCCACAATTAAAACATTGTTTGTTTCGTTTAGAATCACTGTATCGTTTGTTTTGTTTTGCGTTTCGGCTTTTATTTCGATTTATGTATAGAGAGTTTTCATCACTATGTCTGTCTTCTTTTGTCCTTTGCGATTCAGCTTCTTCTAATATTTTCACTCGAAGTATGTCTGGCTTTGGCAGCTCGTCGCGTGTTTCTAACGCGCACCTGAAAGTATTAAAAGAATCGGGTAGGCTATATAGGAGCAGTATGGCCAGAAGCTCATCCCCGATGGTGACGTCGATTTCCTTTAATTTCACCACGGCTTCAAAAAAATCGTTGAGGTGCTCTCTAACCTTTTCACCCTCCTTCATGCGCGAAAGTGCAACCTTTTTCAGCAACGTCGCCTTGCGCGCAGGCCCTTTTGATGAATATGTGGCTTGTAGTTTCATCCACATTTCGTTTGAATTTGTGCATTCTGCAATTAATCTTAATTCTGATGCACTTACTGATAACATTATATCAGCACACGCTTTCTGATCAAAGCTGATCCATTTTGCAGCCGCTTCGCCCGTTGGACACGACGCAGTACCTTCGACATATGACCATAAATCGTTTTTTATGAGAATAGCTTTCATTTGTAATTTCCATGTATCGTAGTTTTCCGCGTTAAGCGGTTCAACTCGAATCACCGTTCCCGACATTTGTATACACGTATTAAATCTACTTTTTATGTGCACGTGCTTTTTACTTCGCAGTGGAAGCGTGCTGGGCCCATAACCTATTATATATTTTTAGCAAAAGTGAAACACGGTCCGATGTATTTTTAACATGTTCTTTACTTCGCTTTATTAACTATACTAAAAATGAATAATGAATAATAATTACAAAAGGAATATAGAATAATGACAGGCCAGAGTTGCCAGGCAATTAATATTTAAAAAGTACTTTACATAACAACATTAACAATACACACAGGGGTTTTTATTTGAAAGAGTGAATATATTTAAAATCTCTAAATTCTGCGCTATTGTACTTTACAGAAGTCAGCTGATTTTAGCTTTTGTTTTAACATTTTGGTTGAGGCTATATAATTTTTATACTGACAAATGAACAAATGACATTAGCAGAATTTTTGCATAACATGCGTGAAAGAGTACGTTCAGTGATTTACTTACGAAATTTGTCGTTTTTATTACTTTGCGTAAATATCACTATATGGTCACAAATGACTCATTTAAAATCCATCATTTAAGTGTTTACATTTGTTGTTATTCATTTGTTCATATTTCAAACAGCTGATTTGTCAACGTGCCAGTCATTTCGATTTTTGGCCTGTACCAAAAAAAATGTTGGTTGAAGGTAAAATATACTTTCAAACCTTACAATATAAACTGAAAACTTATTTTTAGCTTCGACAAAGTACTTTTTAGGAAGTATAAGATCCAGAAAGAGGTGCATCGTTTTCAAGGAAATGCAACCATCAAACATTTATTTACATTTTTTTGTAAATATGTCAAAAACAAAATGTCAAAATGTCAAAATGTCATAAAAAAACTGTTAGTTTGGATATGTTCAATGTATTAATTTGCATTTGGAACTCATTTATACAAAATGATATGAAATTTTGTATTCAGAAATCAGTCACTTGATATTTTTGATACAAAGCGGTCATTTGAGGCCAGTGTAAACACCATACCAAGGAAATTGGTTTAATCAAAAATAAAAGGTGCTTACTAAAAACCTAAATATGTTTCTATATTTATATATTTATTTTTATTAAAATACTTTGCTTTTAGTGATAATAATCTTTTTATTCACAAAAGAAGCAACGTTTTCAATATATTTTCAGACAATTCGAGTATTCGATAACCTCTGCTCATTGTTTTAAAACATTAATTTAAAACATTTAATTTTTTTAGTAATTTTTTGTCGATTCATTCACTATCACTATCTTCTATATCATTTAGCAGAAATAAAGGATTGATTTCATATACAAAGTCACCTGCACCTCTAAAATCCGGCTCTATGTTTTGAGTGTTTTCTTTGTATTGTGCAAGTACGTCATCAAGAATATTTGAAACAGTGTTCCCACGCATTAAACCTTCATGCACATATCTTATAACTACCGGATTTTCAGACAAATTTAGAATTTCATTCATATCATTTTCTTCTTCAATACTTGTAGGAATGAAAGTGGAATTTTGATCATATTCGGAAGGTAATGGACTCTCATTAGAAGAAACTTCATCCTGATTGTCATTAAATGAATTATAATCAATACTATCATTATTATCATTATGGTTGTCGTCAGATGGCGTGAAAAGTGTTATACTAGAGTTAGATGTAATTGGAGCTAGATAAGAAGAAAATGCTTTTTGAATGTTCTTATCAAATTATCAATTAAGGAAATTACTCAAATTTGATGTATTAAAGTTATGCTCATCATCGTTAGAATCATCACCATCATCGGTCTTGCTAGTATCATCATCCGAATCTGAGCTGTCATCTGTATCAAATATTGTAGTTATAAACTCATAGTTTTTAACGGAAACTTCTTCTTGATCTTCCACTTCACCTTTTATATCTACAAAATATATAACGTATATCATTATAAGTTTATAGTTAATAAACTACGATTATTACCATGATTATTTGTCCCAGTAATATCACTAGTAGTTGAGATTTCAACAACTGATAAGGTTTCATTATTATCTAACAATTCTGAAAGAGAAGCAGTGTAAATTGTATTTATACCTATATGAGTAGTAAGTTTCCATAAAAACAATCTATTTCAGTACCTGCGCTAGTGTCGTTCTCTCCATTTAATCGATTACTATTTAAATTGCTTTCTATTGCTGTCAAATTAATATAACACGTTAAGTACATTAATTATTAAATTACTAATTACTCAATTACCTAAAGAAGAATCGATTAAATCAACTATAGCTAATGGATTGCTAGTACCTCCATCGGAGTTCATTACCAGTTGTGGTGAACCTAGTTGTGTGTATGGGATAAACTAATGATTTCATGCTCAGTAATTATAATAATCAATTTTGCTTACTTGGTATTATGTTTTTCAATTCTCCAGAACACACAGATATATCTTCAATCCCAACTGCGCGAAATTCAGTTGCTGATAGCCAACTGTTACCCAATGAAGCTATCAAGAAAATGGAATGCTTATTAGGCATATGAAAATAATAACCATAGCTGAATTTACCAGTACTAGGGTTAAAATTTTCTCTTGATTCATTACCATTATTATCTAAGCCAGTGAATCCATTTTCTGATTCACTATTATTCGGATACTGACACGATTTGCGTTGAGACATATTACGGGAAAATTGTATTTACATTTACATTTACTTTCAATCTTGTTATTATTAAATAATATATTAAATTATGTAAAATAAAAAATTAAAAATGTAAAAAATTATTAATAAAAAATAAAAAAATGGATGCTTCTTTTTCTGCACAGAGAAAATTTCTACTGGCTTTATATAAAAATATTAGAATTGTAGTCAGAATTGTACACGTTATGACAGCTTTCAGGCATATGAACAGTTCACAGTGGTGCAATTAATTGTGAATACTATAAATTAATTTTTTAGACCATATATGTATATGTATATCTGTAACAAAAATGTTAAGCAGTATCAGATGGAAGAATGGCTTATAACCCGTTGCAACGGTAAGTATTGTCAGATTGTTGAGTTTGTCGGAATAATAAGCACTACACCATGCTCTAACGGTCGTGGAAGTTTGTGATATTAGTCCTTGGTTTAGAGTATTAAATGGATAGCAATAGATAAATATTCTTTACTTTTATTCACTCGAATTTTCAAAAGAAATTGTAATGTAAAATGGAATAAGAAAGATATCAACGAAAAGGGATGAAATGGGAGCTTGCATTTAGTGTTTACTTAATGTTCTTTCGAATATTTGGTCACCTTTACGTTGTACCGTTAGCTAATTATGGGCAGAGTTTATATTAAGTGCATAGGAAGAGTGATGGTCTAGTAAAGGTTGATATGAGATGAACTATGTTTGTTCAAATTCCTACTCTGAATCCAATCAGGCAAAACTGGTAATTAAAATCTGCGAAAGACAGCTCTCAAGCTATCTAAGTATATCTATTCAAAAAATTTGCAGATAAGACAGTTTTATTATCTCCTTAATTCCAGTAGTGTTTTCAAACTGAGATAAACACAATTGAATAAGAAGCCAAACTAACACAAATTAGTACCCATCTCTTTTAAGTGATACCAGAGGTTGGAGTGGAGTACAGATATCACCGGAATCAATAATGTCATTAAATATGATTTATTTAATATGTTTAAAATAATAGTACTTAACATTAGGTGTTATATTAACACTTAATAATTCTTAATTATCATATGCAAATATAAAGGAAGGGGTTCTAGTTTTAACGACGTGTTTTTATTTCCCTAATATGCTTATTTTACAACGGATTTTAGTAAAGTCAATTAGTTTGAGCACTTTTTTGGATTACACCACACCATTATAGCGCTGACTCCTACAGATATTGAATTATAAAGTATTATACCGTTCCCATTAGAATAACAAAAGTACTACATACGTCATCTAGCGCCAACTAGTTCATATTATTTCAGTATTGATTGCACTAAACATCTGTTAATAAACAATAAGTAGATGAGCTATCTGGTCTACCCTTATATTGTATTTATATAAAAATGTTTAACTTAATAGACTGATATGTGAAAATTCAAGTTATATTGATATATATTATAGATAAAAAGGTTTTTCAAAAGAGCTGACTACAACATTTATTTGCAAATAGTGAACATGCTCGGTAAATCGCAACCGTGCCGACGTAACTAAGAACAGATATCTAAACACAAAATGTACATGCTAAAGGGCTTAATATATTTAATCAGATTATCATACAAAATATCACAGTGTACAGGTCCAAATCATATATTGATAAGAAAGTATTGTGGAGTTACCAACAACGTGAGTGAGAGCCTGCAATAGGCGTCCACAAGGATACTTCGGGTTGGTGTTTATTTAAATAAAAAAGTTAGTTTTCATTAAGTAGCTTAAATATATTAAATAAAACTTTATAGTTTTTAGTTTTTCTATACATTAGCCTCTTATTAAATGCTTGCTAAGAGACCTAAGAATAGACCCGAAATAAAAATATATAAGGGACAGAGCCCTGAAGTTATATGCGAAAATTGACAGGCTATCCTACTTACCACTATCTAATCTTAGAGTAATCAGTCTCCGCACGAGGAGGTACGCAGATCTTAGATTAACCACTGAATAATTATGAAGCTTATAAGAGATATACAAATTAGTCAATGAGATGGGTGGGACCCTGTAGTACCCCCAGCTATCAAAAAGTAAAAGTGTCCAGTTGCGCTGAATCGAAAAAAAGGATCAACATACATACACTTCTCTTATACCATAATATTTATATACCTATAAGGAGTTGGTACAGGTCTATATAACATACGAATAATTAATTTTCACAACTGTATCCTTTCTATAAATTTAACATAATTAATGAAAATAATGTTTAAGAGATATCTTGTTGGCTGCATATCAACTTTGATAGGCCTGCGTCTACACCTGCTAGACTTTGGCCAGATTTTTGCATACAGTATAATTTTTTCATACGAAATTTTATTTATAAATAATACGTACTTGATTTGGCACATTATTTAAATATTTCTAAATTCTAACCAGTACAGATGCAGACGAACTCAAGTAAACTAGTAAACTTTAGTAACCATAACTTTTAACATAACTGTTAACAGACGCAGCTGTTAATGTTAATATTAAGGTTAACATACAAACTCTGTTAAATTAACATTTTCCTTTAGGTTAAAAAGTGATTTTGACTTTTCTATGTAATTCAATTAAAATATGTGTTTTTTAAATATAATTCAAGGAATTAATTAATTAATTTGCTCTGTACTGAATACTTCTAAGTACGTATTGAACATTAATTAAATTTTTCAATATTCAATAAGAGCAAGTCAAAGTAAGGAAGAGGAATTATATTTAAAAATACTCAATCAACAAGTGCGTAGACTTTTAATTCCTTTTTTATTTAAGTACAAAAGAGGTATTTTTTTTTATTATTTTTTGTTAATTTATTGACATCAATTTTATCGTTTACAGTTCATTTAATTACCAACAATATCGCCCACAAGTATTGCTACGGTTTCCAGAATTACACGTTGTAATTATTTTAACGTTCGCTGTTAAGACTTTTATGACTTTATCATTTTTAAGTCGAAATTAAAAATCATTTCATTAATTGACTTTAAAAACTTTTCAATAGGGCGTTGAAATAAGAACAAGCATGCCAACAGCACTCAGAAACGCATTTAAAAACGAATAAAATTGTTAATTTCTTGATGTTGTCTGAGGTCGAAGTAACATTTAGAGTTGAAGTAGGAACTCGTAAATTTAAAAATAAATTATTTAATAGCAATTAATTAAAAGAAAGTTTATATATTTGGAATTGTTTGTGTGAAACTAATAACAGTACTAGCTTGAAGAAGTTATTAAAATAAATAACTTCCTGCCTTAATGACAGGAACGACAAAGAAATAAGGAAAGCGTTATATTGCTATATATTTGCTTAAGACATTGATAAACGATTTGAGTTATAAAATTTTTTGTTCTCTACTTGTCTTCGTCTCTTTCCCTATTAAACCCTTTATGGCCATTAAGTATTGAGTAGGTTTCAGAAATTCTTTTAACTTCACCTATTTCAATTCATCTTCTTCTCACTGTCTCTGAAACTTTGTTCTCAAATGTTGATTTTAGGTGCCTGATCTTATTTCGTCCAAATTGGTTCAATCATCTGTTTCACTTAATACTCTCATAAATTTTTTTCCATAAGTGTTCCAGAACTTATAGTTCTTATGAAAGTGAGATTCGTAAAATTAGTATTTGATTTCTATATATCTGTACATTTAAAGTATTATGTTGAGGCTAGTTGAGTCACACACAGTGCACTTGAGCACTTTTACTCTTTACTAGCTGCGAGATTTCTAACCCTCTCTAAGCCCTCTCTACGGCTGACTGGATTATTGTTTATCACTTCATCTGTTAACGTATATATATATAGGGGATATATATATATTTATATATAAGTATCTTTAAACTCTATGAATTACGTTGTTATAAAAATATGTGCAATTAAATTGAAAAAGAATATTTTTTATTTGAAAATATATTTAGTCATCATCGAAAATAAACTCCCGTTTTGATAATTAAAAACTTCTGATATTCATTAAACAATAAAAACTCTGAAGTTATTATATTTGCAAAAAAAAATTTGAAATGTAATAAAATATAATCTTCACAATATTAGAAAAGTTATCTTTGAGTTTCAAGCATTACTCTTATTCTTCAATATAAGCCCAAAATACTAGAAATATCGTATGTATTCTTGGATAGTGACGGTATTGGTACTGACGATTGGAATATAAATTTATTCTAGGGGATGTATTTTTCTAGAAGCATTCATTTTTATAATTTCTTGAAATTTCCATTGAAGTTGTTATTAATTTTCCATTGATAGTATTTACATCTAAATTATTATCTATCTTTCCAATAACTATTGTGACTAAACTGTTTATAATTCTTGTGCGCATAAAGAACTGCAAACTGGCCTCTTTTATTCTTTGCCTCTCAATGAATTATCAAATTTCTTTCTGGACAACAAATCTAAATCGATTTCCGTAGTCTTTGTGATAATATTAACCTGTGTAGTATTTTGGCGAACAGAGAGAAAGTAATTCCGTTCTGTCTGCACAGATTCGTCAGCCTTCTCTATTTTTTTCTTCTTCGAAGAATCATCGTTTTCATTTTCCAACAATAGTAGCAAACTTCTTAAGGTACGATTTTCATCCCGCAACTCCTCCCAAGTTTTTTTGCCGTCAGACTCACTGTCACTTTTGCAGATATCACTATATCCACAGCGCCGAAATAAAATGGTTGATAGATCATTGATTTGCTGACGTTGAGTGCGTATGATTTTCCACAGTTTTTCATTGTAAATTTTTGGAAAATCAATTTGCACATTTGACATTTTCTCATTTAAATGTTCCTTAAAGTGCTTGGTTACTTCTTGCATCAATCCCTCATATTGCTCATCATTTATGTTCAAGTTTTTGGGTATGTTAACATTTTGAGAATTCGAAAATTGTAGAATCTTATCTGAAATATCATCATCCACAGCTTTATTAGTTTTAGGGTTAACCTTTTTGTTTAGATCGCTCACATCATTTCGATACAGAGATAAAGAATCTTTGTAATCATTGTTAGACATAATTCGGCTAGTAACATTGACTGTCTTTTCATTAAGTGAATTCAAACCATTGTTGAGTTTCTCAAAATCATCTAAGAGTTTCTTAACAAATAAATCACACATGTTTTTTAGTTCACTTCTTTTAAAGTTGAGAGTAAAAATAAATTTTTCAATATGAATTCTTTTAATTTGTTATTAATTTTAAAAGGCATGCTTAAGAAAAATCGAAAGATTTTCAAGAAATATTAAGTCATCATCTGTAAAGATCTACGTATAGGTGCAATTATAGGTGTAGGGAATTTAACAAAGCCCAATATGTTTAGTTTTTGTCTGAGTATCCGTGGATGAATAAATGGCTGAACGGAACAGTTAATACTCGTTTAGCTGTTCTTCACTATAAGATGCTCCACTTTTCAAAAGGAGTGAAGAGATATGTTAATCAAATTTGAAAAGCAACAGGTGTACCAATTGGAAATACACTAGATAGAAAATGTCTTGTAACAGGATTTTCCATCGAAAGCAATGTTGATAAAAAGCCAAACTTTTTGGAATACATAAAAATGAGTTCTGTAATGATTCAAGTCGTAATATGCTACCAGGGTCTGAGAAAGATTTCGAGAGGTAGACGACATTCAACACTTTAATGAGAAAAAAGTTTGTTCAAAAACTACATCCAAAAATCAAGAGAGTTTCTGTGGTGGCTGAATCGACTCCCAATCCACGTCGATTGACGAGAGAGAAGATTTCAATGTTGTGATCGTCGTAATCCCAATAGAGAAGGGATTCTAATTTTGTAAGTTGAGATTTTAGTCGTGGCTTGCTTGTATTATTATTACTATTATTTGAGTAATACAAAAGTAGGTGATATTAGTTTTCATGAACCTCATTTTCTTAAGAGATAAGATCATATCTAATCATTCAGTGTTTTGTTACGAGGCCTATGGAGGTTTTAATTTGTTCTCTGCTAAGTACAAGAAGACTATTGTTACTGCTATTGTAACGTTGTGGATATACGTTTAGACGTTTCAACATCCATATCACAGCAGATATGGGATTGAGAGATGTTGATCTCAGAAAAGTGCATTTTATAAGGAGATGATATTTTAACCTGGAATGCCCTTTCAGAAATTATGCAAAAGTTTTAATATTTTATTAACTTAGAATAAGGATCCATTTGAGAGTGCCTACGACGCATTGATAAAACTTTTAACTTTTTATTTGATCTTTACAGTTCACATAGAATATTTTAAATTGAGATTCCCTCCAGCACCTAAGTTATCTTACAATATGCTTCCTCTATATTGCACAGAATTACTGAGAACGAAATAATTGACATTCGACTATTCATATGACAACATATTTTAATGTACATATTTAAGCGAATTTGAGCACTAACAACATATATGATTAAAGTGAAGGAGCTTACTTTGTAATCGATGTGCATTGCATATATTATTATTATGTTTTATGTTGAGCCTTTTCCTAGTTAGTGCATCTGGGCACTATTACTCTTTGATAGCTGGGGGGTTTCTGCAGAGTCCCAATCATCTCACTGACTAATTTGTGTATTCCTCATAAGCTTCGTGATAATTCAATGACTGACCTATGATCTGCATACTGCCCCATGCGGTTAGTGATTACTTTGAGATTAGATAATGCTAAATTGAGATGCCTTTAGGGAGCAACAGAATATTTTTTTTTAATTTTATTTAAAGTTAATATTATTCATAACTAATTTAGGTTAGGTTTCAATGCAGATATTTTCCATGTCTGGCTTTGATTTGCTGTAGTAAATCGTATTAAGAACATTTTTCGTGTTTTTTTTATACTAACAACAGAATTTATTGTAATTTTTTAAATAATCTATTTGTTTATAAACAAAAATATAAAAGAAATAAAAGTTATTTCGAATAAATTTAATAATTACAATATTTTTCATAAAAAAACG